ATATAAATGGTGAAAGCAGTGGTGAAGTTTGCATACACAGGTTCTATGTCTGGCAGTCCTGTAAACCCACCAGTTGAATCAACAAAAGTTTCAGAAATCCCAAGTGGTGTGAATAGTTACACCCTTAAAGGAAGGTATGAGCTGCTAAGGGGAGGATGGGTCAAATGCTGAAGTGCTTGAATATCCTGATCTGAAAAACCTTTGTAAATCAAGACCTGATTGTTTAGATGGATGAATTGAAATGCCATACCTTGCATTCAGTGTTCAGTAGAAAGAAAGTGGCCATTTCTAAGTGTGGAAAATAAGAAAACTTATTCTCAGTTCCTGCAAATGGAAAACTGGATGCTTTGCAGCATCTTCACTTTGTGTTAGAACCAGGTTGAAAGATAAAAGAAAACTAAACCAAAGCAATTTGTTGCTTCTTAAGAGAAAATGTCAAAATTATTTGTGTGCATCTCTGTTAAAAAAAATATTTCAACTTTTCTGTCTTATTTTCTCCTATTTTGACTGGAACTGGAACTGATTTAAACCAAATGCTGAAGTAGAAGAATATTGGGTCACTGTTTTTCATCTGCATGTAAGGTTTTATGTAGCATTACTTATGAACAGGAGTGATGAACCATTTGTCCTGGACCATTTGTGGACCTTCCAGGAGTTCAGAGCACATGCACTTGAGAGCCTCTTCTTTAGCCAGAATGGCACAGCTCATGTAGCTGTCATGGTATCTCCCAAAGTATAACTCCACTTGGCTTTGCTGCCTGTGGACATTGCTTTAAATTTTGTCTTCTCTGGACTTTTGACTAGTGAATCTTTCTGTAGGGTTTTGATTGGATATTCTTCATCCTAGGTCTCTTAAGAGAATTGGTTTGGGCTGAAAAATGTGAAGGCTGTATTTGTTTGTTCTGGTTTGGTTTTGGTTTTTTTGTCCTCAACTAACTGAATGAAGCTGTGACTTTATTATTACAACCTGGATGTTCATATGCAAATTGGAATAGTCCTGTACTCTCCAGCTTCTAGTTTATGCTCACTAGCTTAACTGAAGCCTAGAGTATAGCCTCTTCCTGCAACTTCTTTTCATCCAGTGGTTGTTACTCATGCTAGTTATTCACTGGGTTACCCTTAATTCAGCCCACCTGCCTCACTAGTACCTTCATTTTCTTCTTCTTGAAACATGTCATCTGATCACTGAGACTTTTTCTCTCTGCTGCTTTAATCATGGTGTTGCAACATCCTCAGTTGATGACAAATCACATCTTTGCTACTTACACACTGCTTGATTATCCGTTTATATAGTGCTGTAGATGTTATTTAATAGGCTTCTTGCTTCAGTTACATCACTCCCAAATTTTACACTGCATGAGGCGTTTTGCGTTTAAAATAAATTGTAGCTCCTTGTTTCTGTAGTCCCCTGGTGACATGCTGTGTTTTCACACCTCCTTGTGCTCTTATGTGTGTTACACTCTGGTTAGGGCAGGCGAGTGTTGTATGGCATCCTAAATGTACTGCTATTGCAGTGAACAGTGAAAGTGGCAACCACTGGTTTTGGCTACGCTAGTTTTGGAAAAAGAAATCTGGAGGAGGGGTTTCTATATTTGTTTTGGACCGATGGGAAATGCAATGAAGAGCAAGAAAATAACCTCTTTTTATTTTGCGTTTGCATGCAAGTACTTGCTGTCTTGAGACTGCGTAGCTCTGAATTCAGCTAGAAAAGCCAGTGGCTAGTGTGCTGGCATTCTTCCTATTCCATCTTCTGCAAGAGAAAACCTAACTGTAGGCATCCAGCTTTCTATGTGTGGAATATTAAGACGTGATTGTAAAACTGCTGCACCAAGGGGTTCTGATTTGGTTTTGGGTTTGCTAAGTCTTGTGAAAAATGGACGGACGTAAACTTCTGAACACACTCATTTGGGTTCTTAAGTAAATAACTCATAAAATCACCACAGAAAAGCTGTTATGGTCAGGAAAATTGTTGCCAACCTGCAAGTTTGTCTTGGAGAGAATAACTCTTTTGCAGGCTTCCCACTTTTGACTGATAATGCTCCTGATTCTCTGTGCTTTTGTGTCAGTACAGATTGACCTGATCTTTGTTAATGGCAAGAATATTCTTAGGGAGCACAGCATAAATTATGAAAGCTCTGTTTGAAGAGAAAACTTTAAATGAATCAAATAATTTCAAAAAAATTCTTTTTTTCTTCTCTAGGTTATTTATCTTTCATGCATAAGCAAATACTGTAGGCTCTTAATCCATCTGGAAGAAAGGCTAAAATCAGTAGAAGTGCTGAATTAGGGTTTCAGGCAAAGCATGTCTGCTGACATGATATGGTACTTCAGTTATTGCGGAGACAAAGCATAGTTTGCAGACTGCAGAACAAACAGCATTTGTTAAACCTTATGTTGGCCATAGATTAACAATTAGTGTTGCTAAAGCATGAATATCACAGTCTGAGCAAATGCCTAAGGGTGTAGAGTGGACAGGAAGCAGTCAGTAGAGAGACATAGATACCAAAGTCAAAGACAAGAATAAAGGACTGTGAAGCTAAGGAAGAAGATTCAGTAGGAATCCAGAATACAAGGAAGCGACTGAGAAGAAAATAGCAGATAGATAATGGCAGCTAGCTCAGCTAGCTTGGGTTGTAGCAAGGACTGGAGAGAAGAAAGATTGGACAGGCTACCGAAGATGGGTGTTGTTTTAAAACATGTTTAATTTCATACATTTTTACTATGCTAGGTGGTTAAATTGAAAGTCAGTAAGTATCTAGTGCCTTTTGAGTTGCCTCCAAGACTACTCTTTGTTTAAAATACCTTCCTGCCTTTTGTTTTGTTGTTGTTTGGTTGTTTGGTTGGTTTATTTTTATTTTTTTTTTAGTTATGTTTTGTAGCACAGTAAGGGCTATGGACTCAGAATTAATTTCCCTGTGTAACCTTCTAACTATGTGCTATGTCATGGCATTTCAGGTTTCTTTTTAACATATAAATTGCAGTCCACTTAGTAAATAAAATGGATTACTTATGGTAACTGTTACTTATGGTAAATGTGACTAGTCAGACAACCTAAATCCTTGCCAGAGCTATTCCAGAGGCTTTAAAAAATCCTATTAAAAGATTTTGTTTGCAGGTGGTACAGAGAGGATAAAAAAACCCCAACAAAACAAACAAAACACAGTCTGCAGAGCATTCTATTGCTCCCTCCTTTGCTAAGGGCAGTTTACTTTTAAGACCACAGCTATAGGTGAAATTTGTCTCTGCTGTTTGTAAATAAAAGTAAATTTCTGAAGAATCTGGAGTTCTTGGAGGGAATTTAGGAACAGGAAGCATGAAGCCTTATGTATTTTCTGCAATTATCATTATGCTAATTATAACAACATAAATGTCACAATCATGTTGTAAATGTTAAGTTTGAATCGTGTGTTAGTGCTGAGTGTAAACTGCCAGGATCAGAAGACAGTTTTTTTGAATGTGGGTAGTAGGGTGCATAATATGACCTTTTAGCACCTTTCACTACTGATTGTTGAGTAAAATCTAAAGAAGCTGGACTGTTCAGAGCTCATAGTAACTTTGCATAGTTTGAATTAAAATTATATTTATCATATCTGTAAGTGGAACTTCCTTAATAAAATATTGCAAAAGTAACATGGAATTCCCTAATGCAAAGTCAGACGACTTAGAAAACTGTGTGTTTTTGAAGCATGATGCATGCAGAATTTAATTTGTATTTACACAGTTTGTAGCTTTCTAATAGTAGTATTTGAAAAGTGTTTGCTTTGTGCTTGTGCAATAACAAAAGCCAAAGTGATGAATATGAAAAAATGACCTTGCTTATATTATGTACATTACACACTATTGCTTTTTTTGATTAAAAATCTGCAAAATACATAGTAGAGATAAAAGCTGTTGATATTTCATTCAGCCATTTTGGTTTAATTGAGTACTGATGTTTGCTACCTTGTTAGCAAAATCCTGAAGATGCTTCAGAGTCTTGAGAGAAAAAAAAAATCTGAATAGGTTGCCCCCTTTGCTTTGTCTCTAGAGAGAACTGTTTTGTATTCTCGCTGTATCAATCTCCTTTTCTTCATCAAGGTTGAAAAATGTGTGCATTTTTGGGGTCTCAGGAGTAATATCTGAAGACTTAGTATTTGGGAGCCAATTGAAAAAGCTCATCTATAATCAATGTTTTTGTTGTAATAAACAAATTCTGATATGCTTAGATTTGTACTACAGCTAATGCTTATTCTTTTCCTGGAACCTTTTTGCCTAGATGACTCTTTTTAACAGACTTTAATTATCTTAGCAATGTATACACACTTGAGAACTTTTACCTCACGAGCAGCAAACTATTTGAATTGCTTACAACTGCCTCTTTATACTTTGCAGTAGAACCTCCATCTTTGAGTATTTCAACCTTTAAGTACACAACTGTCCTTTCTGGCACCATCACAATATAGGCTAGGGATTTCTTCACTGAGATGTTAAGCTCAGCTGCTTTGTGGCAGGTAGAGAACTGTTCCTTAAAGAGCAATTTATTACCTCCTTTCTACATGCACTGTAATTGCTAAACCTGCCAATAGTGTTTGAAAACTTGGGGGCTTTTGGAAAGTTTAACATTTTATCCTTCTTGCAAATCAGATTACTGAAAGGTAGCTGTGGAAGACTGAAATAAAGAGATATCATCAATTTCATGCCATTAATTTCTGTTTTATATTAATAAAAACTAGTTATGAAAATAACCTAGTTTGTGGATAAATATTCGTAAATTCCTGGATAAATTACCTGTTTTCTGGATAAATAGTATTTGTTGATCTAGCTTCCTGTGGAAGCACTTCTTTTGAAGTCTCACATGAGCCTTACTCTTTAAATCTTTTGACCAAGCTGCTTCAGCTACCTCAGAGCTTAAGGATGGCTCCTGCGGTATGTTAATGCCCCATAGAATAATTTTCTGCCTTTTTCTATTGTGAGCAGACAATTAAAGTGTTGTTAACCTCATCTCTCTCTTCTCACACAAGAGCTCCAAGCGAGAGTGGAAGCCTCTGGAGGACCACAGCTGCACAGATGTACCATGGCTGCTCTTATTCATCCTCTTCTGCATAGGAATGGTGAGTAAAACTCAGATAATTCTGTAAATGTTATATAGTTAAAGAGTTTGCATTCAGAAGAAAGGAATTTTCAAACCCTTCAGTAACTTCATCACTGGGAAAAGTCAGGGTATATTTGCATGAGAACCAGTAGCTGTAGAACAGAAATGGGTACTATGTCCTTGGTAGGGATCCATAATTTATTGTTTGTGCCAATTCTTTCTTCAGCTTCTCTTCCCCTCCAGTTTCTTTGGTAAGTGATTTACATCATGAAGATGTATCACTTGAGTCATGTTTCTTATGGGGATGGATGTCCCAGAAGTGATAGCTTTGAATCTGGTGAACAGTTCTATGAATGACAGTAAACTTTTTGTGAGGAACAAAGATCCTGAATATCAAAAAGTTGACTGCTTTTTGGGGGGTTGGTTTGTTTGGTTTTTTTGCTTTGTTTGTTTTTTGTTGCCTTTTTTTTTCTTGGATGCCTAGTAGAAGCAGCTACTGTTAACAGGCATATTACCAGTGGTAAAATCTTTCTTTCAAAGTTATACCAGCTCTGTCCTGTGTGATGAAGCCATCACCTTTCTCAGGTCAGCCTCACAACCCTCTAGACTTTATGTTAAAAAAACAGACCTCCAAGAGCTGCAGATTAGTGAAGACTAGCAATACACTTCTTTTCATCTTGTTTTGCTTCATACCGTTCTTCTTAAACAGAGAATGTCTGTTTCTGTCTTGTACTGCTGTGTTACAAGCAGTAGTCCTTAGGGGTTTGGGACTTAGATTCTGTCAGCTTTCTTTTCTGCTGTCCCTTGGTCTCTGGTGTTTGGAATAATTCCACTGAAAAATTTCTTCTACTTTCCCCAGGGTGTTTGTCAACGGCTGTTCTTCAAATGCAAAAATTATAACGATTATTTAAAATCATATGAATTACAGTGTCACTGTAATGTGGCTATCTTAAAATTGCAAAAAGTACAGTACTTCCTGAAACAAGTAGCTCTCTCTTTTGTGTTTGATTTTTTCCTTTATTGATGTTCCCTGATTATTCGTGCATACTTACCTGTGCCCCCAATAATAATTAGGTCTGCTATGCATGAGTGTCCCAAATTTTCCTGTCTAAGCAATATGATATACAGAGCAATTATCCTATTGGGTCACATACCTTGTTAGTTACTGTTCTAGGGGACTTCATTTGAAGGGTCAGGTGCCATGACAAGCCAGGAGAACATCACTGCACACTTGTAAATTAGCTTTGATAGAGGAAGGGTTGTATGATTTGCCTGTGTGTAAGGACAAAAATTCTTGAACCAGCCAAGAACCTGAGGACTACTGTATGTAAAATGCACGCTAGTATGTCCTTTACAGAATAGTAGGGGATCTGAGAAATTAAAAGTGAGTGCTGGAAATTAGCTTGAATTATTATGACTAGTGAGCCTTTTGATCACTTTGCCCTTGTTTTCAGTTTGAATATTAGGTCTATAAGTGCATTAGTGCATTGGCAAGGGAAACATAATGATTGGCTTGTCTGGAATTGATAGCCTATCCATTAGAGAAGGTCACTCTGCTGTATCTTCACACCTTTGAAACCGCACATTTTCACTGTTCTGTGCTGAGTTCATTACCTGTTGTCATCATCTCATCTGATCCTGCCACTGCCATCTGTTGCTTCACGCATTTGTCTCAGCTGCTCAAATCTTAGCTTGTCTCACATGCGAAAACAAGTTCACTGATGGTAGTGGAGTGAGCTGATGGTTCATTTCTGCCTGTCAGTGGTGGTGTTAATGATGCTTTTGCACCAGTCTCCTGTTTGCACAATCACCATCTTGATCTTGGTTTTGCTTGAGAATTGTGTCTGAAAGTTCACAGCAAGACCTGCCTACGTGTTGGTATTTTCCACATTACACTGTCTGAGCCATCTTGCTTTGTGTCTGTTTCTTTCTTGCATTTAAATCCAGCATATGGAACCACAGTAGCCTTGATCTGGTCACTTGTTTTAGGAGCACTTCCTTAAAAGAAACTTGTGTTAGATAGGCCTCTTCATTCTAGCTCATCTTTGAAAGCAAGTAATATGAAGGAAAGAAAAAAGTCTGAAAGCAAGAAAATCTGGACTGTGTGGAATTCTCTAAGATGCATAGTAATCCTTGACAACTCCAGCTCTTCTTGTAGCTGGCTCTCCTTCACTGCCTGCTCTTGGTCTCCCTTCTGCTTCGTGCACAATTCACTGACAAAATGACTAACAAAAAAAGCACCTACAAGAGTCTTAACTATGCTTGTATAGTACCCAGTGTTGGATATCTCAATCCTCTTTTAGGTTACAATCAATTTTATCGTTGCACAACATCTCTCTGTGATGGTCCTTGTCTTTCCTTTTTCAGGCCGAAAGAATTTTTAGACAACTTCTACTTAGAAACAAATTGATAAAACTGACTTCTCCCAGCTGTCAAACAAAATATTGCTAAACTGTGGATTGTTTTGTTTTTTTTTTTTCTCCTCCAGGGTTTTATTTGTGGCTATTCAATAGCTACAGGAGCAGCTGCAAGACTGCTTTCAGGATATGACAGTTATGGAAATATTTGTGGACAGAAAAATGTCAAGGTGGAGGGAATAGTCAACAGTGGTCTGGACCTTACACACAAGAAGTAAGTATGTAATTCAGCTGCTGCATTCTGTAAACCAGGAAAGGCAAAACCTTTCTTCCTTTGAGAGTGGTTTTCAATAAAATGGGAAAAGGGATATGCTAACTCATTCCTGCTTGTCATTTGGCACTTTTCTCACCTAGAGGACAACAATCTCTTGTAACAACCAGCAACAGTACTTGGCGATATGCAATATGAGTATAGCTAAAGACATTGAGGAATTACCTTTTCTTGGTATCCACTTCATGTAAGATATTGTATTAGGCCACTGAAGAGTCTAGTTTGTTAGAGTTTTAGGTGTGACAAGTATTTTCAGATTTAGGAGCTGACCTTCGATATTAATTTAGAAAGGTTTGCTTTTGATGTTGTATGCTCAGTTTCTGCTGCTAGGTGTAGGGGGAGATGACACATATCTAACACTTTAAACTGTAAGCAGAATGTGTGTAAGTGACTTGTGGAGAAAATGCACAAAACTTGTAAGCGGCTCACAGCTCTTATTAAGCAGTATCATGTTAAAACCCTTACTTACAGTTCAGGTATTTCCCATCTGTTTCCCAAAAACATCCCACTGCAGTGGTAGTACTGGAGAAGTAACAAAAATTCTGGATTTACAGGTTTAAAACATCTCTTGAGGTTTGTCTGCCAGTCAGTACCCAGAGCGCGTCTGTACAACTTGGGTGACTTAAGAAAGTAAACTGTTTAGCCTGACCATTGAACAGTGGTATTAACAGACCAAAAAAAAAAAAAAAGAAAGATGTTTCTTTCACTGTTTGATTCCTTCAAAGAATTAAAAAGTTATTAATTTCTTAGTATAATAACCTTTTGGTTCCCACTTTCAGAGTAACAGAAAATCAATGATTTCCATAAATTATTTTGGAGGGATGCTTTCCTAAGATCTACTTATTTGGAGTTGCTATACAAAAAACTTCTAAATACTTGATTTAAGATTTAATGTGGCTGGGTAATTGGTAGTTACCAGAAGGACTTGAGATAAATAAAATGGCCTGAAATATTGTACAGATTTCTTCTGTCAAAAAACCCCCCACTTCTTAATTTAATCCTATCTTCCAGGAGGGTTGAAAGGCTTAAGATTCATGAAGCATAGTTTTCCTATTTTTTTACATAAACATTTTAATGGTTTCCAAATCCGTGTATATTCAATACAAAATTGTCATTCTGGCATTCTGAGATAAAATGCAAATTTTAAAATCATAATTTTAAACTTACTTTTAGAAAGAAATGGTGTCTGAGTTCGTGTGAAGGTAGGGAAATTTAGACACCTTATTGAAATGTAATAATTACTATTGTAATAGACTGCTACATGTGACAGAAATCACACCATCATGTGGAGAAACATCTACCACTGCTTAGTGATTTCCTCTTGTGAAGGCAAGCTCAAAAGACAGCAAATAAAATGAGAGATTATTTTTAACACAGTTAATAGATAGACTGTTGTTTATTAAGAAGTCTTAATGAGGTTCAGAAGGATTATGTTTTTGTAACAAAGATGTTGTGGCTTGAGGCATGACCTAAGCAAATTAACAGATACACTTATAAGGAATATCATCATCTCTATTTGCCTGAGAGTAAGAGAAAACCTTCTACCAAGGCAGACTGTTCACATGAAGTGCCTGGTACAGTCCAGGGTAGTGAGTTTTGGAAGAGATTGGTTCTTATATAAGCAAGTGATCCTTCATTCTCTCACACCCTATAGTTTCTTCTGAAAAATTGCCAAGCAAATTTAAACAGCTATCTGCTTTGCATCTGTCTCTAGCAGATGGAGTTTCTCCAGTGTCTGAGGTACAGTTCATGGGAGTATTTCATGCTATTTTTATAAAAGTACTTTTCAGACAGCCTGTAAAAATGAGCTTTTCTTCCTGCCTGTGCATTTCAGTTTGTGTAGAGAAAGAGGACTTTTAGGATCCAGAAATGCGGTTCTGGAAACATGAAGTTATTTCATTTTGCTGGCAGGGTAATTCTGTTTTCGTTTCCCAATCCAGAGGCAGAAAAGCTAAATCATCTGTAAAAATAACATTTTCTTCTTTGTACGTGACAGCAACCCATAGGCACTGTCATGTGGAAATGAAATGAATGTGGCCTGTGTGGATATGGAAATCTGGGTGGTAAGGGTGAAGAGGACAGTCCTCACAGGGATATGATTTGCTCTGTGTACGTCAGATATGCTGAAACCACTGAGATGAAATCTTGGGAAGGAGGGTTCTACAGTTTGGTCTCATCAACAAAGAGTGGATCAGGCATCTTTTTATTTTTACCACAGAAACAACAGTACACTTTAATAGTCTAGAGTCAGACATGGCAGTGAATTCTAATTAAATCTATCTGCTTCAAGTAAGCTCCTTGCTTTACAAATTCTGGTAGTTATAAGGGGGTTAAAAAAAAAGATGTTTTATTTGCAAATATATGATGACCATGGCAGACAAATGTAAGTCCCTGAAATGCTAGTTCAGTCTGATTTTTGATCACCAATACTGCTTGGACTGAACTCAGTTTTTGCTGTTTACTCCAGTATAAGGAGATGTGCATATACATATAGCATTCCACCTTAACTAATGCCCTTGACCCCAGAAAATGGGGTTTAGGTAAGGGGAAAACCCAGGGAGAGTTTGCAAGCAAGCATGCAGAGAATTTGGTCGAGTGAAACTGCATGTGCCCTACAGTTAAAGACATCTTAGACACTAGGCTCTCATCTTCATTCGACAGATTTATTGGCACAGATCAATTATGATATTTGGTAGCTTGATCTATGTGCCTTGAAAAAGGGAACCTGAACAAAGAACAACCTGGGTAATTATTCCCTTTCAATCCAAACTCCCCATCCCTCACATGACAGTCCGTACCAATGGCAGTGTTCTGTAGTCCACATTGTAATATGGTTGTTACGGTTCGTATACCATGCTCTATGGGCTGTACACTCTAGCTGTTAATTTTTAGGCGATATTTAAGATGCTAGCTTTGTTTGTTCTAAGTATTGTTGATGTTCAGATTATTAGCTCCAGGTTTCACCTTATTGCTCTCTACAGCTACCCGAAAGGAAGTTGTGGAAAGGGGGGGATCAATCTCTTCTCCCATGTAGCAGTTGAGAGGAAGTTTAGATTGGACATTATGAAAAATTTCTCTGTCTAAAAGGGTTATCAAGCCCAGGGAGGTGATCGAGTCACTGTTCCTGGAGGTATTTAAAAGACGTGTTGATGTGGTGCTTAGGGACACGGTTTAGTCGTGGATTTGGCAGTGTTGGGTTTACAGCTGGAGTAGATGGCCTGAATGGTCTTTTCCAACCCAAAAAATTCTATCGTTCTAAATCTACCCTCTTTTAGTTTAAAGCTGTTCCCCCTTGTCCTGTCACTATTTGTCTATGTGAAAAGTCATTTTCCCTCTTTTTCATAAGCCCCCTTTGAGTACTGGAACGCTGCTATAAGGCCTTCCCACAGCCTTCTCTTCTCCGGGCCGAACAGCTCCAACTCTCTTAGCCTGCCTTCATATGCTCCAGCCCTCTCATCATTTTTGTGGGCCTCCTTTGTGCTCACTGTAATGGATTCATGTCTTTCCTGTACTGGGGGGTCCCAGAGCTGGGTGCAGTGTGCTGGGTGGGGGACCCATGAGAACAGAGTAGAAGGGGAAAATTCAACCCCCTTGCCCTGCTGGTCATGCTTCTTTTTACAAAGCCCAGGGTACAGTTGGGTTTCTGGGCTGCAGGTGTACATTGCAGGGTCACGTCCAATTTTTCATGCACCAGTACCCCCAAGTCCTTCTCTGCAGAGCTGATACTACATAAAGATGCATAAAGACACTTAATGTTGTAAGTCTGCCATACTGATTTTCATATAGCAAACGTATTTTCATTTGCAGTGTTGAAGCATCTCTAACAGTATGATTGCCTTGTTTACTTCAGTCTTTGTGTTGCTGATATAAGTTATTCTGTTATCAACAAATTAGTCTATTGTTGATTGTAAATAACTGAAATTGCAGCACAAACCATGTAAGTACATTCTTCTAGGATGAAACAAAACCTGGTCTGTGATGACATAGTATGGAATTTTCTGCAGTAAAATCACTTATTTTCTATAAGTAAGCTTTATAAACAAAAATAAAATTAACCTTTTCTTCTGTAATGCTGGTGCCTGGCATTTTGATTCTTGTTTTAACTGCTAGAAATTTAAAAAAAAATCTTGCTTCTGTCTTCCTAGACTACAGATTGAAGCCATGGATTTGATAGCTTGGAATTTTCTGTGCAACTCCCTTACTTCTGTCAGAACTGCCTCTGCCACTGCAGTGCAGTATTGGAATTACATGTATCTATTTAAGTGTATGCCAGCACAGCACACTTGTGTCAAAACTGCATGTGACACTGCAGTTGAGTTGTATTTCTAAACTTCCAGGCTTAAGTTAAAACGGTAGTATTTTACAAAATATTCCAGCAATTAAAATTACAACTTGGCCCTGAAATTTAAATTACTGTAGAAGTGGGCTGAGTTCTGTCTTGTCAGTGGCAACATTCCTCATCTGATTTCCGTAGGCAATATGCGTTAAGGGACATTCAAAGAAGCCTTCCGTCCAGGAACTGGAGTCCAGCCCTATATATCCTGGTGTCTGCCTAGGCTGAGGGATGGGGATGGATGACATGTATGGGACACTCATGCAGCTGGTTACACAGACTGGTACTGACAAAGTGCTGCCTTCAACAGCGGGACTCACAAACAGAAGCACAGACAGCCACGTCCTCTCCTCCTCATGGGCTCACAGAGACAGAAGGTCACTAGTGCAGGCACACATATGACACTTCCCAGGTTCACAAGCTCACATACATTTGTGGAGCCCTCAAATACCAGCACAGCACCTCTGCTCACCTGGCACCCCTGCCCCGTATCTGTCTCTTGGGTTCCTCCTGCTCAGCAGCTGATCCAGCTTGGTGCTAACTAGCAAACACTCACACACTCGTCCCACAGGCACCCTGTGCTCACAGTTCTCTCAAATACCAGTGCAGACCCTCTGCCTACCTGACACCTCTACCTGGACCCAGAGCCTCCTACGCACCATCTGATGAAGTTTGGAGTTTGCTGGGGAGTTACAACAGGAGTTGAACTCAATTATCCTTGTGGGTTCATTCCAACTCAGGATTTTCTGTGATTCTGTAACATGTGTACACCTGCTTTGGCTCAGCCCCTGTCAACAGCCAGCACCGTATGGGCTGTGACCACTTGTGCTCAGTCCTTCACTTCTGTAGCTGCTTTTTTTTTGTGGATGCACATTGTTCCCACTCCAGCAGCCCATTGCCAAGACCCCTTTCTGCCCCAGTCACTGGCACTGAGACCCCACTCACTTCTGTAGCTGGCACCACAGGCCTGGGGCCTGTAAACCCCTGATCTGATTCTAGTTGCTGGCACCAAATCCTTCATGCCCATGCCAGTCTCCCCAGTAGCTGGCACTTAATCCCTGCAGGACTTGCAGCATCCATACACATGGAACAGAGACTGGAACTATGCAGAGGGAGAGTTAAAGGATTTAGTAATAGGATATGACAGACTGCAGTGATCAGGTGCTGAGATCAGTGTACTGACCAACACCAGCTTGCATGCAACTGTCCCTTTTATACCCCTTTCTATCTGCCACCCTGTCCCATGCACACCCCCTCAGCAGCTCGCACAGTCCCACTCATCACTCCTACATTCTGTGTCTGTGGGTTTGCATCCTTTTCAGCCACATAGTCCCTGCCTGCAGTTTCTTGATAGCCCATCAATTATTGTGATTGAGTAGGTTTGTTTCTGATTATTAATATAATAATCTGGTTACTATATTCTGGTTATGATTATTAATATAATATTAACACTAAGTGGTTAAGTTTTACGTCTGAGTGTCTCCCTCCTTTTCCTTATTATCTCAGTTTGTCAAGGTGCTTAGCCGGATAGTCTTATGGAAAGTTAATAATTTTCAAAATCCACATATCCTTACCAATTAATGTGACTGAGTTTCTTCCCATCCTAACCTCCCTTACCACATCAATCAGGTTTTACTCTATAAGTTCTTGTTTGTGGCTTCTTTGACCAAATAACCTCAAATGAGCAGACACTCTTCTTCCATGTACCTTTATAGTATAGAATAGCAACTGTAGAAACTTGCCCTCATGCAGTGGAAGCTTTGACAAGAGTGTTCAGTTAAGACAACTATTGAACGTCTTGGTATTAACTCAAGAGTATTTTCTTTGAAATGAAGGAAAACTGTGGCTTATTGCTCACATACAGTTACTTTGATTGTGTCTACGGGACAGAATTTTCATGTTTGCATTTGCTTCTCAGACAGTGGTCTATGGATTCCTGAGATGGGTAGTGTGTATTAAGTAAAAAAACCAGAAATAGCAGTGGATGATTTTCAGTGAGATGTGGACAATAAAAGGGAATGTTTTAAGAATGCAGGTAATTACCACATTACAATTGATTTAGATTACATGGGGTTTGATGGACTTTCAGGAAGTAAGACTGTACTACATACTTATCATTCTTGTATACTGACACTGGGTAATAGAACAGTAGACAGCAATTAGTGTACAGACTGAAGTTGTTCAGGCAAGACCTAAATGCTTTCTAGGAATAGAAGGGATTTTACTGATTACAGAATGAATTCCCATCCTGAGGACTGCAAAAATGGAAATGGCATTTTATATGGTGGTTTGGTATTGATTTCCTATGATGATGTTAGAAAATATGTAGAGAGTATTTCAATGTATAGTGTGTCACCAGAATTGTAGGAATTTGAAAGACTTGTTCTGCTTCCAAAGAGAAAGGCATTCTTCGTCTGTATTATACCATCAGTGGGCAATTCTGTAGGTTTAGGGTTTGTGATGAAATGTGTATAGCCAGGAGATGTTAGCTAAGGATCTATAATATGTGCTTCAAATGGCAGTGACTCATCATGGAAAGTGAGAAAATAGAATCTCTTTAAAATACTGCACTTGAACACGAGATAGTTGTAATGAAATATCTGAACCATTTTTATTTCAAAGCAAATACTAAAGTAATCTGTTCAGTCATATGGTGTGGAAAATTGATCTAAACTAAAAAGCTGTTCTTGATTGCTGGTATTGTGTGTTTTCATTAAAACAGCCATGGACTTTGTCCTTTTGCAGCGTAAGGGTAACTTTATGGGGTTTATTGAATCTTTCTAGAAAAATTTGTCAAGTTTAAGGGTGGAGTGAAGGTTCGTGAATGTTTGGGCTCATATTTATGAAAAGGCATGGTAGGAGTATTGCTGTTTTTAGGAATAGCACCACTTGAATGGACTTGAATCAGGTAGAGTTAAACATCCTTTCTGTGTTATCCAGAGGTAGATAAATACCCATATACTCGTGGTGCATATGTTGAGTTCATAAATTCTTTTGATCCACTCAGTTATGATAATATGAAATTTACTATGTTTCTGGATAGACTGAATCAGTCAGTCTTGACTGAATCCTATAATTTGAAATTTTGCTCAGCGTGATTGTTAATTCAAATAGAAATTATTTACCTTTTTTCCTTCCCTAGGTATGTATTCTTCTTGGATCCATGCAATATCGATATAGTACATCAGAAAATCAAGTCTCTTGCCTTGTGTGTATCAGCTTGCCCAAGGAAAGAACTAAAAACTCTGGCTGATATTCAGAAATTTGCAGAAACTAATGGTATGGAAAAAATATGTTTGCTTTTGTTCATATACCAGATATTTTCACAGGATTAAAAAAAGGCTCATGCATTAGCTGAGCTAAAAATGAAATATGTATGGAGAAATACGAATAGAAATAATGTGCTCTTTTCATTAAGCTAAAACGTTACTAAATCTTACAGTATGCTAGTGTTCCGTCATGTCTTGGGCAGTATTGAAAGCTTGTTGTTAAAACAGGGGTACAAAGTGTAACAAGCACTTGAAGGAATGTCTCCGCTCCTAGAGAAATGTGCTGACATTGCTGCTCAACAGTAGTGCTGTTGAAATGTCCTCATGTATATGGGCTAAGTGAGAGCGGTGCTGCTGTTTAATGGCACTTGTGGCACAGAGAATGACTGTGTGTGTGTGAAAATATTCCTGCTTCTTTTCAGTGCTGCAGTGTGGTTCCTGTTGGTTTGGGTTTTTTTGGTTTTTTTTTAGTTTTCCCTAAGAGTAGTACTTTTTCTCAGTAGCAGTGACACTGATATTGCTAGCTCAGTTCCTGTTTTAACAGTCTGTGGAATAAAATGCATAGGAAGTAACCAACTTTTGGACGTTCAAAAGAAAGTAAAGATAAAAACTTAATTTAAGGAAATTTCAGGGGTTTTCAGCTATTTAAGTGGGAACATTTAGTCCTAAACTTACCTTCTTGTCTTTTAAAGTGCTGCAGTAAAATTTCTTTGCGAGGTGCTCGACTAAAGATGAGTCAGTCTGGATGACCCAGTTCCAAGGGGTGAAACCGCTTGATTACTTTCCATAAAGGGAAACTGAAATGTCTGTTTCTGTTCTAATACAGGTTATTTGAGTACTTCTTGTTTGAAAGCAGGGCGAGTGGAAGTGTCCCTAGGGTCACTGCTAATGCCCCTGGCTCTCCCACTGCACTGTGCCCACACACCTGGGTGTCTGACACTTGAACTGTCGCGCGGCGTCACAGCTTCCGAGGGGCTGCGCAAAGAGCTGTGCCCGCCCGGTGTGGCTGGTGAATGAGAGCCTCCTCGTGTGGTCTGTGCAGCCTTGTCAATTACAAGGGAAACTACTCAGTATCTACAGCTGTGTTCTTCACTCCTTCTCTGAGCATGCTGTGTTTCTTTTAACTAATGCAGGGGAGTTATTTGTTGGTATGAAGTTAAGGTCATTTGTGCTGGAGTTCGGGTATTTCTTGAAGTAATGAAGTGCAGCCATGTCTTGTTTTATCACCAACACTGTTTCCATGTTTATAAATCAAGTCTCATATTAGTTGTGCCTGAAATATGTTTAATGTAACTGTTTTTTAAAGTACAACAAAAACCACTCTTCCCCAAACATGCTATGCTATGTCTTGTCCTCGTCATTCTTTCTTCTAACTGTATCTCTCTTAATGCTTTAGATTTTAAAAGATATAATTCTTTTTACTTGACATGACAGAACAGTATTTTCAGTTTCCAGAAGCTTGGTCAAAAGTATGAAACCTGATGTTAGATCAGAACAAAATCATTGATGAGTTCAGTTCCAAATTTTCATTATATAATGTTTGGCTTATCAAAAACAGGTATTATACTAAACTGATCTTTCCTTTTATAGATGAACTCTGTGCAAGACTGGAATCACACTGTTCAGAGAAATATTGTCATCTTCATGGTTATAGTTCTGCTTAAATGTTCACCAGCCTTTGCAGGTTCCAAAAAGGGATGGTTTACAGCAAATGAACAGCTTAAATGCTGACTATCTTAACTGCTGCATATGTATAGTAGAAGTTCAAGTGTGATTCAGTCTCATGGTTGAGCAAGAACAGTGAATTAGTACCAAAACTATAGTACTTGGTAAGCAGAATATTTTTTCTAAGATATGATAGTGGATTTAAATTAATTAGCACAGGATTATGTTTGGCAGTCTGTTTTAAGTGACCATTGACTCCAGTGTAAAAACGATAATGATGAAATCTGAGGACCTTGAACATAACTGCAAAGAGCTTAATTGCAACTTCCGTGTTTGTTCTATAGTTAGAATATAGAGTTCAGCTGTCAAACTGAAGAATGAGGGCAAGCTTGTGATAATCAGTGCTGAATTTTCACAGGCTCGTGACTTCTAACGTTCAACAAGAAAAGCATCGTAATGGTTTTTTAATATATGGGTAAAGAGTGCAGTCAACTCTTGGTTTTGCTCTTTTGAGCCTTTCTGAAAGCTTTAACACTCCCTGCATCCTGAAAATAGCAATTGTGCTGAAGACAGAATCTGTCTGTAGGTTGTTGCATGTACTTTTGTAGAGTTGGCCATTTTCACCTGGTTCATATGCCATCCCTGAAATCACCTTACTTGTCCATGTACCTTGAAGTTCTTTCATAAATTACTGCTTAAGAGCCCTTCCACAACCCAAAGAAACCATCTGTTGTGACTCAGCCCATCAGGAGGTGGTGTGGTAAGTTAAAAATGAATGGGTTTTTTTAATCTAAACATCAAGAGATGTAACATAGTGAAACATACTACAACATCCTTGTATTGACTAATGATTTTGTCAGTACCACATATGATCTTGCAGCTAACTTAGTACTTATGGTATCTTTCCTGAAGCAAGACAGACACTTGATTGGCTCTACACAAGAGGACACAACTGCCAATCCCAGAGGTTCAGAGCAGTTATGGCAGAGCTCTTATTCATTGCGCAGTACAGCTTGTATTCTTCTGTAAGCAAGATTATAAATAAGCATTTAGGGCAGGGAAAATGCTTGCTTGAGGCGTGAAGATCATTTTATGACAAAGCAGCCTTTAAGCTTTCTGAATCAGTAATGCACTTGCTCTTCTGCTATAATTTGAGAAAAGCAGCTGATTTTGTGAATAACACAGCACCATTTCAGGGCAGTAACTTCACTCTCACTCCTACCCCACTTGCTCTCTCACAGTCAGGCATTTGCTGTGCCTAAGAAGAGAAGAAGCACATCCCTTACAAAGCCAGGCTGATTTTAAGAAAACAAGGAAGTGTGTGTCTTTAATCTGTTCAGAACAATTGACATCCAGAACACTGGGAACCAGCTGAGACTTCTTACAAGAGGAGGAAAAAGGGAAAGAAAAAGAAAAGATCTTTGCCCTGTGCAAAGGTGCAAGTTGTAAAATGCAGGGGTGCTCTTGGGAGTGACACAGAAAGGTGCAGTGTTATCTAAGAAACATTCTAATGCTGTTCTCAAAGAGCTATACTAATACTTGAGTTTGTAGAGCTATGAATTGGACAAAACTGAGAATGTTATATGTTGTGAAGTGACTGCTGCTGCTCTCCCCAGGATTTTCTCACCCAGCAGAACACCTCAGGCAGGGAGTACTTGTGATTCAATGTTTTTGTCGGTCTTGGCACTTAAAAAATGTGTATTTTGAGGAGTGTGACTGAAAGCTGTTTTTCCCAGAAACCTGATTGATGCTTCAAAACTTAATGTCCGTGAAATATTGCAATGGTGTTTTCAAGGACTTGCCAAAGCATTTTGAAATATCCTTGAAGATATAATTCATCTGTGACTGTGCCAAATGAATAATGAAATTTCATTATTAAAAAGAAACACTAGAAGGTGACCATAATTTCTGTTGTGTTTAATTCAGTGATAACTATACTGTCTGTTCAGTGTATTCCTATCTGTTATGTAAATATCTGGATGCATACTTAGGAACCTAAAATTAAATTTCTCTTTTACAGAATGTTAGCAGGCATCTCTCTTGTCTGAGATCTGTAGCTAGACCAGGCTAGTTATGGTCTGGGTGGACTTAGAGCCAGAGATAAAGCTACATTAAGTTTGCTACAGAGACTGACCTGAAAGAAACCAATAGAGGAAATCAGTCTGGTTAGGTCAGAGCAGGTAATCTCTCTGAGCTATTAGGAGAAACCACAGGGGAAACAAAACGGATTTTTCTTTTATCTGAAGATAATGACATCTTCATGTGCAGTAGTCAAAATACATCTTTGCAGTTCCCATTGGTACTTGCCTTAGAAATAGCCATTACCTTGATTGCTGCCAGCTTCTGGTATTTTTCATCTGCTCTTCCCCCCGCCTTTGTTTTCACTGAAAGTATTCTATTTAAAACTTAATCCTTTGCTCGTGATTTTCCTGAAGCATGTTGTACCATGCTAGTTAGAGGCATCTTATGGTTAAAGCAATTCTGTACCCGCAGGTCTTTGGGAACCTGGGTATGTTAGTGTTGAATGTCATTTTTTTATTGACTTGAGTAAAAGTGCATTATGACCAGTTTTAGATAGTCATCCACCTCTATTCTACCTTGTTACCAGAACTGTCCATCAGGGTTGCCTTGTGTTGGAAATGGATCCTCTAGTTAGAATGAAGTTGTTTCCTTGATAGAAAGTGGCTGCATGTGGAGTCCTCCAGTACTGTGTTGTGTTATTCATTACATTAATAAACCATTTGGAAAGGGGAAGAAACATTGAGGTAATAAATAATCTGCTTAATTATTTAGAATTACATGGAAAAAACCCTGCTATTTATCAATTGCAGTGGAATAAGGTGTCAAATCAAAAGGAATTCCCCCAGAATGAAGGGGTGGGAAACAACCATCGTTATGCTTATAGTGTTTTAATTTAAAATGGCTATTTGTACTTGGGAAAGAGATTGTGAAGCTACCGAGGATCACAAGAGGATTAGGTGGAGGCATAGCATTGTCCAAAAGTGTAATGTTTATTAATTGTGAAGAGGGACTGTGTTTTGTGTAAACTCATGCTCTGTTGGCATCATAAAGCCTGTGTTCTGGCCCTTCCTTGACAATTTTTTTTTTTTAAACTTATGCACAAACACACATATTTGTATATTTCCAGTATGTATACACATACTGTATGTGTATACAAGGGTAACAAGGATTATCATAAAAAAAGACCAGATTCTTCTGCCTGGAAAAGAGAAAACTATCAGGAACAATAAGGTCATTGAAAGCAGGAATAGCTTAAAAGAAGGTTAAAAAATTATTATTCTATGATCTCATAACCTGACTATTGTGAAAATAGAGGTCAAAAAT